AAAAAATAAATAAAATAAAATGAAAAAATTGTAGTCTAGTCAAAGAAAAAAAAAAAACATAAAACTGGTTGCCGAGACATGGTCCAGTGGATAAAAGTGTTGGTTGATTGATCCAAAAAAGTAACTTGAACCAAAGAGTTGTGAGTTCAATCCCTGGAGAGAGAGAAAACAAAAAAACTTGGAGAGTTAATCAAGATGTATTAACTAAAACTGTGATATCTAAAGGCATGAAATTTGTGGAATAAGAACAATCTAAAAACATCCCATGGACTAAATAAAGAGTATGGTTCAAAATTCCAACAAATATCACCTGAAGAAGGCCCGAGGCATAGAAGGACTGAAATGTCATGAATGTGACAACAAAAACAATGTAAATCACATAAATTGGTCAGTTGGAGTTTAATCCCTGGGTTGGGCAGTGTACTTGGAAATTCAGGAGAAACAGGGTGAGTGCAAAAACTATTATGTGAAGTAATAAAAGTCAGTAGTTTGTATAAGAATATAACACATTCTCAAGGGACTGTGAATGACATAAAAAAAAAATTTGTCACAAAAAAAAATTTCCCTATTTTTTTTTTTTATGAGCCTGTGGCACACTGTCATCAAAGCAAATCTCACATCAGTGAACTGAAAAATCATTTATATGCACATCAGTATTGACTGGAGTGTCATTAATAAAGAAATACATTTTCATCTGGTATTCCCATAACTTGGTCGTATTATAAGATTTAATACTGGAACACTCTGGCCTTGTAATGCTGTTTTTGCAATTGTATATGAAAGAGAGAGGAGATTTTACTGCAAGTATTAGAAGATAATGACCAAATCACATTGAAATAGCACGTACAGTCACTGAAGTTAAGCAACATCAAGCCTGGCCAGTACTTAGATAGGTGACTGCTTAGGAATACCAAGTTCTATAAGTTTAGATGTGCAAATGGTGTAACAGATAACAGCTTGGAATCTGAAATTGGAGAGCAGAGTTCCAATTCCAGTCAGGTTCGTTATATTTACTTATGTACAAATACCCTTGGGAAAGGCATGAATCCACTTCTACTCCACCCAGTTAATTGTAAATATCCATAAATCATGAGATTTTAGGAGGTTCCGTTGTGAGTATGGTGTATTTTGGTAAATATGGGATTGGTTGAAGAGGGATGTGTTCTTGTAGTGAAAGAGTAAATTGTAATGAATGAATGGGTCATGAATCAGATTAATTATGTTTAGGATAGTCAGTGACGACCGGACTCACCCCAACTTCCCCTTTGGCCTTGTGCCAAAATTGTATGTAAAAGTACAATAAATATACAGTTATGGTATACAAGTATGTTCTTTTTACTATGTAAATATATTTTCTGGCTTTAAATAACCTAAGCCTTGAAAAACAAATCAATCAATGATTCTGAAAAATAACCTCCTTGTAGGTAATTAATGTTCTGCAAATGATCCAAATAAACAATCCAATTTATTTTACTATTTGTATAATGTTAAACCATGATTTTATTCATTACTGCTGCATTGTTATAGAATTATTTCCTGGCTGTGCTGGCCCATTTTCAGAAAAATTGAAAATTGCCATTTACTTGAAATAAAAAGATGCTGATCATGATATCTCTTGGACGCTGCCATTTTAGTTCCAATTGGATACTCTGTAGACTAAGTTAAACAACATCCCCAACACCAAATATGACAAAAACACATCACAAAATAGGTTGTATTGTATACTACTATATATCATTTATGGTTTGAAAATAGCACTAAGCACTAGCTAGTTTTTATAACAGACATGCTAAGAACTGAAATTATACAATATCTTGAAAACACACACACACATTATGTATATATATATATATATATATATATATATATATATATATATATATATATATATATATATATATATATATATATATATATATATATATATATATATATATATATATATATATATATATATATATATATATATGTTAACAGCAGATAATGTATGTTTCATAAAGATGTATAAGTGTGTCTGCAGCAGTGAAAATATTAAAAATCATTCACTCAACTCTGGAACAAAGAGCCATATTATTTTTAATTGTTTTTTTAACAAGATGAAAGTCAAGTCAGCCATTATTAATTTTTTGATGAGCATTTCCTTCATTATAATTTTAGTTAATTTTCATTACAACATCAGCCTCTGGCTATTTGTAAATTAAATCTTGAAATAAACTATAAAAACAATAAACTTTTTCTTTTTTTTTTTTACACAAGGCGTAAAACTCCTTTTTTATATTAATCTCAAACAATGCCACGAGTATAATGTAACTCAGCTAAAATCCTTGTGAAACAGGCTGATCAAATTTTGAAATATCTTATAATATCTATTTGTCTTTAATTATTCTACGTTTCACTAGGATGTGTGGGTGGTGTAATGGATAGGAGCTCAAAATGAGAAATTGGAAAGCTGAGTTCAAGATCCAGTCAAGATTGTACAATTTTACATTTCACCTCAAATTAAATTTTTAATAACTTTGCAGTAGCAGCAGAATCATTTTCTTCCAATTGGCACATTTAGCCTATTTTTAGCTGCATTGCCTGATGTAGAAGAAACATCCAATTAAATCCATCTTCTTACAATTGATATTTAATCCTTTCTTCTTGTTTATATCACTGGTTTTATATATATATATATATATATATATATATATATATATATATATATATATATATATATATATCCTTGTGCAAATTAATTGAAACAAAACAAATAATTCCATTATTATTTACTTCTTTTAATATTTTTCCAGTGAAACATGACCCAGTGCAAATGTTAGAACTTTGTATGTCTATTCTGCAAAGTCATTCCTTGCAGATTGACCACAGATTCTCAATTGGATTTGAATCAGGAGAGTTTCTGCACCAGTCAATAGTACTTTGATTTGCTCACTGATAAGGCTTGAAAACGTGTTCATGCAGCGTTACAGTTTTGTAGACTTCCTTGGTGTTACATCCAATGCAGACAATGGCCATAGAACAACCAATCAACAGTCAAGACAATAGTGTCTGGGCATGATAAAAATCTGATGCAATCACGGATGACAAAATATTTTTCAAGGCCAAACAAATTTCATCATACGCCTTGAAAATAGATTCATATTACTGCACACCACTGCAAATGACCTAATCTGAGGAAAAAATAGAAATCGAATCCACCTTGTCACTCTAGTGGGTCTAAATGTGACCGTATGCTGAAAGAAATGAAACTAAAGCAGGTGTTTCAATTAATTTGCACAAGGGTATGTGTGTGTGTGTATATATATATATATATATATATATATATATATATATATATATTGTATTCGTGAATACCCATCTACTAGGATGACTAGCCAATCCCTATTGCAGACTCTCACTCAGGCACATTTGTGTTTGTTCAACATCCACAGAGCCCACCTGTGATTTATACTGAAACTATGCTGAGCAGATCTTAGTTACAGTTTCTGTTATCTAGAATGATCAATAATCTGAACAACACCAGCATACTCAAAGCCTCGGTCACTATGACTTGTGACTTCATGCTAGCACTGCTATTAGACAGCCCCCAAGTGTTCTGTCTACCCAATTTCCCTCACAATTCTTGGGTCAACCTGTGGTATGGTTTCCAAAGGTTCCACACGCTGAGATAATCCCCACTCCAGACCAATAACATCAGGAAGTCTCCTTCCTGACAAAATGACCATGGTGAGACTCAAACCCAGGTCTCATAGTCAGAAAGCGAACGCTCTAACACAATTCTGGAAAATCCTCATTGAAAACAAAATTATACTTAAACATGAAAACAATAAACAAAAACTAAAAATTCTATACATAAAACAGTTGAAACCTAACCTAAATAAAATAAACTACAAAATCTCCACAAACATTCTTAAATGCCTATAATTGATAACAGAAACCATTGGTTTATACCAACGGCTTCCCATACTTAATACTTCTCATTTTCACTCTTGCATGGTCATGTGTAACGTCGCGAGCTGCGACACGGTTTTCACTTCCGCATCTTGTATACACAAGTTAGTCGTTGCTTTGAAATTTTTCATGCAACAAAAACAACATATATATATATATATATATATAGAGAGAGAGAGAGAGGGGGGGATAGTTGGAGGAAATATAATTTCCAACAACTACCTATGATTTCAAACGACAAACTTGAAAACAATAAGCCAAAAAAAGATGTGGCATACATTTTTTTTTATTAGCATCTGTTAATTTTAATCGAGCTGAGAATTAAAAAATTCTCAAGTTTTATGCCCTTTACTTCAAATATGAGAGAAACTTGAGTTATTTTCTATAAGTTGTGTTAAAAATTGGCTTTTCCTTAATCTTTCAACTAATCTAAGCCTTGTCACACTTAAGAGCTTTATGCTAATAAAACAAAAAAAAAATATAATGTAATAAACAAATTTCTAGATACATCAGACAACACACTTTAATTTCCTTGTTTTGTCTTCCTAAGCTTACAGCTATATCATGTTGAAACACCAGTTCTTATTCAATAACTGAAGTTAAGCAAAATTAAACCTGGTCAGTACTCAGATGAGTGACTGGTAAGAAATACAAGGTTCTATAATCTATGCAACAGGCCTAGGATCCTGGAAATGGATACAATCTCATTATTTATACAAACAGAAAATTTCAATATGTAGAGGTGCTTCACATCCAATTACCAAAGTTAAGCAATGTCGAGCCTGGTCAGTACTTAGATAAGAGACCGCTGGGGAATATAAGGTGCTATAAGTTAGGCCTAGGATGCTGGTGATGGATACAAACATGCTACTTACACTATGTGGAGGGTTTTCTTGATTGAAAAGTCACATGACTTACCTGGAGTTTGGCATATGAATGCCTTTCTAAATAATCTCTCGGTGTATTTAGTAGTTTCTAACAGTGAGCGGTTTTGGAAAAAAGTGGCTGAATTTTGCCTATTTTTTGCTAAAATATTAAAGCAGTCTTACCTGTTCCAATAAGATGGCTGGGACGTTGGTCTTGAGGATTTACAAAACCTGCTCGATGTTGCATTTCTGAACGGTACAGATACTCCATGGGCATGTCCATACGTGAGAAAATGATCGGAGGTAGAAACAAAGGGACATCATTATGAAGCCAGTCCTTAATGTCACCAGGATTTTTCACAATCAGTTTGTCAAATATACTCATATATTCTTTGTCTTGGCTACCAGGGCTTGAAGGTTTGGCAATCATTGGTAAATATTGGAAGTCTACCATTCCTGACAAGAAGGTAGAAAAGTGGCTTTAACAAAACAAACAAAAAATTCAATAACAAATATAATTATTTTAATTCTGTCTAAATTCCTCATATGAGGAATTACCATTATTTACATTCAGACTAATATCCTCCTCTTTCTTTTTATTATCATAATGATTTTTTCTTTAATCATTTCACCCCAAGTAAGACAATAAAGCCACTAAGACACAAGGGGGTTACTTAATGTTAGAGAATATGAGAAAAAAAAAAGTATTAAAGAAAGATAACAATAAAAGAACAGGAAGACAGAAGATAATGATTGACATTGCATTTAAATTTTTAAAGATCAAAGGCAATAAAGCCACTAAGACACAAGAGATTAGTGTCTGTTACAGAATATGAGAAAAAAAAAACTATCAAGAAAAATAAAAGAACAGGAATTAAGACAGAATCTAACGACTGACATTGCATTTAAATTTTGGAAGATCAAAGTTGACTGGGAAATATGCCATTTTCCTCTATCTCTCTTACCTTCAATATGTCCTGTGAATGTCAAATTTTCCAAGCCCTCTTTCCTCATTATGTGCCCAAGAAATTTCAACTCTCTTTCTGGTGCTAACTATAAGTGCCATTTTTGTTTCTATTTTCCCTAAAATTTCATTATTAATCACATGTTCAATCCAACATTTTTGTTATTTCATACATTTGCTGCCATATAGGAGAACTGATATTACATAACTGTTCAGCAATTCTCTTTTCTTTGTTTCTAATGAAATCATCCTTTTTCTTTATACTTTGCTTAGATTTTGGAAATCATCTTTCACGAGCGCAATGTGCCTTCAGATTTCGGTGTAGCATTTTCCATCTTCTGTTTAAACACTTCTTAGATATTTAAGATTTGTGCTTGCTTGATTGATTTTCGTATCTCCAATTAATAATTTGCAGTCAAATTATCTAGTGTGATCGACAATTTGAACAAGGCCAAAATGGAGTATAACCTACCAAATGCGTTTGTATAAATGGTTGGTAAAACAGGGATTAGGAGATACAGCAAACAAAAAGTCAAACTTTATTAAGAGCAGTAAAGGACAGGGAATTGTGGAGAGCCATGATTGTTTACGTATTGAAGAGACATGGTACATAGAAAAAGAAACATTTTAAAAATAAGAAATTATTCAAGGGAGATAAATCCATCTGAAAATTTCTTTTGTTGTCTCCCTTAATTGGTTTTAATATTTTTATCCAGTTTTTGAAATGAGCTAAAAATTAAGATAAAAGGGAAGAAAAGAAAAACTTAACAAAAATAGGGACAATATATATATATATATATATATATATATATATATATATATAATAAATAATCTATACTTGATAGTAAAGCCTAAGGAGATATTAGCATATTACTTTAAAATAACTAATTATAGTAAACCATTGTATCAATGATCTGATAACTTATTCTGATGACTCCACCTAAACTCTGAATCTTTATTTACTATTTATTTATTTTTCCTCAATAAGAGTAGATATGTTCGCCTATTGTCTGGTTCATACTCCTCCGTGGTCTTTTGAACAGGAGTAGAGGTTTATCCCTTGTTTCCTGTATAAGATTGGGTTTCCAGTTCCTTCTAAAGTCTTTTCATTCCCAGTTTTATTGCAAACTTTGTTAATTCTGTTTGTTGGACAGTTCTGTTACTTCTTTTGCACTTGGCCATGGCTACTAACTCATCAATTTTATCAAATTTTTTAATCCTTTCTAGCACATTCAAAATTTTAGTTCAAAAAATTAGTGTTGTATTGTCGAGGTGAATGATACACAGAGAAGAAAGAGTGCTTAATATATTTATTCAGCACCAGTATCCAGTGTTAACAGATACATACAAAAAATACAGAACAATAAGTTACAAAACAATTAAAAAGACAACTTACAAGGAATAGAGGAGGGTCAAATGCTGTATAGTCAAACAAAGTAAGATCAGTCTGAATATTAATCAGTTTAGTATCAACTTATTAATCAACTGTTGAAGTCCTTAATTGTAGACTATTTAAGCCTATGAGTCAGATAGAGTGCTGAAGAGGTTTTAGCTTCTCTACAAGAATTAGTATGGGAAATTTAGTGTTTTTTTTGCAGTAAAAAAATCACATTGTATTTGAAATTCTTTCAAAAATTGCCAAATTTTAATGAAATTTTCAGGACTTATTCACAAATGAACAAAATAATTTTTGAAATTTTTTTTCAAAAATCTTGGTAAAAATATTTTTTTTTAAATCTGTTATGAAATTTTGAGAAATTAAAATTCCACCACCTTCATATTTATATTAGTTAAAAGCAAAACTCCTTGGAGAATATAAAACATCAATTTGTTTTTGTCAAACAGAAACACTATTTACAGAAAATCTGGTCTGAATCATAAATAATTAATGAAAAATAATAATCTGAGTCATAAAATACAAAAAAGGCAATAAAACTATGACATTATTGGAAAAGCTTTTAATTGCTTTTATAAATAAGATATATTAAGGACATTATTGACTTAAGAAAAAAAACTTTTTGATGAATAAGGAATTTTTATAAGAATTGTTTTTATTTATTAAAATTATAATTAGAATAATTTATTAAGATTTAAATCTTTTAAAATTCTTTATTTCACTCTTTTAGATGATATTATTAAGTAAAAAGTATATTTACTAATCATAAATGAAAAAGCTTAGTACAAGTAAGAGCAATAACTACAGTAAATTTAAAGCCAGAAAGTACCTAAAAATATTACATTAAATTATGGAGAATATTTTCTGATATTTTTAAGATTACTGTGTATTTAAAAATTAGAAAAAGGTACTTACATTATATTCAATTATTTTTTCGGCTATAACCACCATAAAACATTAGATAAATATCAATCTGTCAAACATGTCAACAGCTTAAATAAACAGCTACTGCTGTATTAAAAAATGTATTTCTGTGATATTTTTAAACTTCAAGTAAATATTTGTTTTAAATCAGATTAATTATACTTTAAATCAGTTAATATTCTACAAATAAAAATTTAGAAAAGTATATTTTATTTTTAGAAGATTTTTCAATAAAGAGAATTACATAGCAATAAAAGATGATTAAAAAAAAGGGGCGCTAATTGGCTATTTTAGCAAAAAAAAAAAAAAAAAAAAACTCCAGTCAATTTAAATAAGTTTTTGAAATACAGTAAAATATTTTGCTTATTGGAAACATTAAATTTAGTCTATTAGTTTGAAATTAAAAATGGAAATAAAAACTCAAAGAAAGATTTTTCATTTTTAAAAATTAATTTTAAACTTTAGATATCATGTTTTCTGTGGTAGTACATAATATATATAGTTATCAGACTTTTAGACAGAGCAATGGGTACTTCTCATGATGGTGACAAAATCCAAAGAAAAATCTGCAATGTTTTTGGTTTTGTCCTAGCATCTCAGCTCCATTCACTCTCCTATCACTGTAACATAGTTTTCCTGTGCCTTTCTGTAAATATTTCCATGGTAATTCTTCTAATGAGCTTTCTTCTTTGATAACTTGACTTGAAATTAAGTGCAGTGCTAGATTGGCAGGTAGGTCCCATAATTTCACTGTTGAAATTGCTAAGTGTAAACATGTTCTATTCTAATAGTTTCTTCTCTCCTGTGGAATTGATTTCCAACTTCTTGATTTCTTGTCAGCTATGATCTTCAAAAGTATAACTGTAACATGAATCATCTTGAACCTGTCCTTTTTATTGTTTTCTCCTCAATAACATTTTCTCAGTTTCTTTCACTCTTAGTGGCTTTATTGCCTTGCTTAGGGTGAAATGATCCAAACAAAAACAAATATGACAGATCTACAATGAGAACAGAAAGGCATTTTTCTTTTTACTGCAGTCAAACAAGCATAAAAATTATAATCTTTCAATTTTTGAAATCAGCATTTAAAATCTTTGGTTTGGATATGAACCAGTGGGCAGTTAGTTAAGTGCCATACATGATACACACTTGGGTGATCACGTCTCTTTCGATTCATGACTGATGAGGCAGAAGATTTTTCCACAGTAGGTTGCTTTTTCTTTTTGTAGTAGATTAGAGGACTGAGTTTCTCCTGCTCTTCATTGGTATTCAGTGAAGCTGTGGTACTAGATGGAAACTATGCAACTTTTTCAGCTACCAAACACCCCATTTGTCATCAACTTCCATTTGTCGAAACTGACAATGAATAAAGCAACTTGGGTCCCTAAGTGCATTAGAGCAAAACTGATACCAACAATCTCAAGTTGAATGCAAGTTCCATTTTTTTTTTTTTAATTATTATAACTAAGGTAATGTTTTGTATGAATTAAACCATGAAAGTGGAGAACCCACATCTGAAATTTACTATTACTCATCTTTTTTCAAAAAAAAAAAAAAAAAATCCAAGACTTCTTGAGAAGTACACTGTCCCTAAATGCTTCAAAAAAAAAAAAAAAAAAAAAATGTCCACTTTCCCTGATGTGGATATACTTACTTATATGTCTTTCTGAAACTTACCCTGCCTGTTGTTGATGTATATGTAAATTTTTAAGGCACTGGGAAATTTTGGAGCCTAGTGTTTATGTTAATAAGTAACTAAGAGCTTAGTGTTATTTGCAAAACACTGTGGACAGATAGTACCAAACAATACGACCAGTTTCATCACATATTTGAATTACTGTGCATTATGGGAGCTATTTAGTCTGTACTGCAGAGCTAAGCAAAGTCAAACCTGGTCATTAGCCAGATGGGTGACCACTTGGGAATACTACATGCTGTAAGGTTGGATGTGCAGGTGATGCAATAGATAATGGCTTGAAATTTGAAATCAGATAGCTGAGTTCCAATTCCTGTTGGGTTCATTATATTCATTTACGTGAAAGTTATGAATTATATTCACTTATGGGAAAGGTATGAATTATATTCACTTATGGGAAAGGTATGAATTATATTCACTTATGGGAAAGGTATGAATCCACCTATTCACTCCCCAGCTATGGGTTAATTAGTAAGACTTGTAACACTAAAATCATTAGCATCTCTAAAAAAACAACAAATGAATAAAATAAAATTGCATACAAAATATTCAGATTTCAGCATTTAGTAACCCATAAAGGTGTTGATATGCCATTAAACAAAAACAACCAATCAATTATACTGCAGAGTATCTAATTAAAACCAAAATAGTAGTAACCAAGAAAATGCTATCAGCATCTTTATAGTCATTTACTCTTCCTATTTTTCCCAAAACAGACGGTGATGTGTGGGTGGTGTAATGGATACTGGCTTGGAATCAGAAATCAGAGTGCTGAGTTCAAATTCTGGTTTGATTCTTTTTCTTAATTGTTTCACCTCAAGCAAGACAATAATGCCACTAAAATGCAGAGGGGTTAGCAGGAGTGAAAGAGAATGGGAAAACTCTAAGTGAGGAGATGCGAGGAATAGGACAATTAAGGAACAGAGTTCAGGAAGACAGAAGATGGTGATTGACATTACATTTAAATTTTTGAAGATTGTAGGCAGCAGAGAAGCAAAAAATTGGGAGGGAGTTCCACAGATGAGAAAAGAAGCTGATAGAATAGAAGTCATGGTTGCATTGTTGCTACTTAATTAGTAAAATGGCGAGATTTAGTTGCCAATCTAATAGCATGTTTAAATTCCTGTAGAGAAAAAAGGCATGTGAAAAAATACCCTTGGGAAAGGTATGAATTTAACTCCTTTCCCAGCTAATTACCAAATAAAAAGCAAGGTAAAGACAGGCAGCGTTTAATCGACATGTGTTGCAAGATTTAAAGTAACAAGCTATTTTCCTGACTCTTTCCTATCTTCCCTAAGGTGCCGTGCATGATCCACACCAGGATGATTGTGTCTCTTTTCAATTCATGATTGTCTTAACAGAATTTCCACAGTAGGCTACCATTACTTTCTGCAGTAGGCTGGTTGCAAACCAAAGCTATAGTACTGAGTCAGTCCCACTATTTAACCCATAGCTGGGGGGAGAAGAGATGGATTCATACCTTTCCCAAGATTGATTTGTCTTTATGACTCAACCTTTTGCATGTTATTTAATTCCAGAAAATATTTCTTTTTTAGATTTTAAGAATTATTGGAGATAATGATGATTTATTGATGCAAGTTTTACTAATTAACTGATAGCTTGTGTGTAGGTTGTGTAAGTGAATATAACAAACCTGGCTCCATTCCCAAGAGGATCTGCATATTAGCAAATATAAACTTGACTGGAATTTAAATTCAGCTATCTGATTTATCATTCAGAGTTGTTGTTTATCACACCTTAATAATATTCTTTAAAAAGTTAATCATCCGGCCTTTCTCATTTGTATATCAATCTGGGTCATGTAAATATTGATGCATTTAACCAGAAATTAAGCTGTTTCATTACACCAACTAACCTTGAAATCTGTAGGTAACTTTCACGGTTCCAATGATCTCAACTTTGTGTTCATATTCAAAAGTGCCATCAGCTCTCTTCTTTCTTCGTTTCTTGAAGCTCAGCAGTAAATTGTTTGTGGCACTGCTGTCACCATAAGAACTCTTGCAATATGGATCCTCAGGCCTCCAACGAAGTTCAAGTCTTTGGTTCGAATCAGAATACCTCTGCAAAGTAAATCCAGAACAAAATTGGAACTTTCAACATGCAAAAGTACAGATGAGGGTTAAGGCCCAACAAGAAGATATATGTACGTGTATATATATATATATATATATAGTACACAACAAAATTCAAAATTACCTCATATGGGGATGGGTATAGATCTATTTCAACTAACAAGAATTGGATTATGCTGTTATGACAAATAGATTGAGCTCTTTTTGTGGATCAGTTTTAATATTTTATATTACAAGGATCCACTTGGATTATATACCAACGGATTTATTACCTGTACTATATATAGAAACTAATATTATGAATGTATATGCTTATAAAGCTTCATAAATTTCAAAATAAGTTATTCCAAAATTTACTTGAAAATGAAACAGAACTAGGGACTTTAATTTAATTTAATTTCTATAATTGAATTTGAAGTTTTTAGCTTGTTTTTGAAATTCCTGTGTAGCGATGCAATCATATTTTTAAAAAAAATATAATTATATATATATATATATATATATATATATATATAATTTTCTCCATTCACTGCTACCAGCAAGCAGAAATATTTCTCCTCCCGATGATGGCTATTTCGGTCGAAACTAGTCGAGGAATCTAAATGGAATAATAATAAAAAAAACGAAAGAATATTAATCTACAAACCCAGTGTGTCTAAAGATTTTTTTATTTTTTTTTCTTATTGTTCAAAAATATATATATATATATATATATATATAAAGGTAAAAAAGGAAATCTCTTGGTACATAATCCAAGTGAGCCCTAGTAATATAAGAATATTAAAATTGATTCACAAAAGAGAGCTCAGTGTATTTTATTTATACAGAGCAAAATGATAAACCATCAAGAAAAATCTTTTTATCTCATGTAGGAAATAGACGATAAAAATGATCGTCTGTCTTCTCAACCCAGATATGAAACGGAATTCACGTCTGTAGAATGTGAAGATGTAGGAATTAAAAGTGTTATGGAATGGTTTCACAGTGGAGGCTTGTATTTGTACTAAGTCGGCCCTAAAATAGGTTCGACATACAAAACGTTAGGAACTTGATATAATAGGTAATGATGCAGAGTAATCTAGTTGCAGTCGCTGATACTTTAGAATCCGACTAACGGTCGTCCGGCATCAACTGACTGCCCGACCCACTGAGCGACTCCTCGTTACTCTTACTACTCCTAATTATTATAGGTGGGAGAGTCTATTAACTATAGAATAGGTGTGTTCCACTATAACAAAAAGTAAACTATACAGGAAGTAATACTGGAGAGTATTAACCTAATATTTAACATGCCAAAAATACTTAAATCAGAGTTTGCACTTTTCAATGTATAAGTCAGATAATAAGCAACAGATAGGGGGCAGGGAAGGTGGTAAATATCTATCTTAAAGGGGAGAATGTGTATTAAATAACAATGTCATGGAATATTAACCCTATAAAGACTAATTGTAGGAATTAAAAATAGGGGAAAATATAAGAAAAAATAAAAAAATATATAAAGTACCAAGGAATTAGAGGAACAAAAACTAGAGGAAAATTCTAAGAAGAGGAAACTTCATAAATTAAAATTATTATAGCATAAAAAAGGAACAGTTAAAGGTGACTAGCAGCATGACCCGGCATTGCCTGTGCTTGATTCAAAAATCGTACGACTCATACAGCAATCACTATCACTTGACTTAAAATATTTTTGCACTTCCTTGCCTTTAAAGGAGTGCTTTTGCCGTGCTGATGTTGTTACATGCCTTACTTCTTGCCTATCTCACACTGCAAATTTTTTCTAAGCTCTATACTAAACATTAAATTTGTTAAGAAAAAAGAACTAAACAAAATGAACACAAAATGATCAGCTTTAAAAAAGGATTTGTAACTGGAAAAACCAAATGAAAAAAGAATGTTAACAACAAATACTTTTTCACACCCAACCCAGTTCTGCAGAATCAGAATCAACGTTGAGATTAGGCAAGCAAATGAGCCAATTGGAGTAAAGTGCAATGCAGATTTAAATTTTTTCCACTTGTGACGAATGCAGCTATCAATTTGTTTTGCATGCTAGTTAACATTTGTGTCAGTCAGCTGTTGGCTCTCACACTGGCCAATAGAATCTTCCTGCCTATTCGTGGCAGCCAGCTATTGGCTCTCACTCTGGCCAGTACAAAATGGCTGCAAACTACATGAAAACTGCTGTAGAAGCATGAAAAAATCGATTATTTCCACTATCGATGGAAGTTAGGAAATGCAAAGTCAGTCTTGGTCTTCCCGCTAACTTGGAGCATGTGCATGTAAATTTTGGTGCAAATCTGTCGAAAATTGCAACCATGCATTCGTTACACACACACGCACACACATCCTGCTTTTTATAGATAGAGATGGTAGGAGGGGAGTGATTTAGGGTTAGCCAAATAAGGCAAAATTATATTATGGAAATTTGAATCTGTTTATATAATTTCATTGACTAATATAGACATATTGTATTTACCTATTTTTATACTTATCCTTTCCAGTTGTCTATTTAGTTTCTTGATATTAAGATGAAATTCATCAAGGAAGACACTATTGATTTTTTAATTAACCCAAGTACTTTCGATCTTTTCTAAGATCATCTTCAGGGATAAATTACAAAGATAAACTTATTGCAACTGCGATAAAATTTTAATTCCGTTGTGATGGTGATTCACACATGTTTATAAAAATCACCATCACAACAAAATGTCTATATCATTCAATGAAACATTTTTGAATGAAAATATGCTGCTTATATATATATATATATATATATATATATATATATATATAGAGAGAGAGAGAGAGCCCTCTAACCAACAACAACATTCCTTGGAATAATAAGATTCACTTCTTTCTTTCTCACCTCACTGAAAAAGGAGACAGGTGTGTCTGAAATTTCTGACTTTTAAAATCTTTCTCTTCGTGCTCTAATTTAGTCAAAAGGTTAATATATCTTATTGCCAATATTATCATTTTGCTGGCATTTTATTCCTTAAATTTTATTAACCAGCCTATTAAATCTACATATTATAAGAAGGGCACATGGATCTTAGATGGATGAATTTATAAACAGGGATCATAACATTCATATACATGTTCGGAGTTAATGTACTTTATTAAATTTGTTTGCAAAGATATATTCTCGCCATTTACATCATTAACTTCTATATCTGTTTTTTGTATGAATGATTCATGTAAAGTGAACTGCACCACATACTTGATATATATATATATATATATATATATATATATATATATATATGCTTTCTGACCATGAGACCCAGGTGTGAAATTCACCATGGTTGATTTGTCAGGAAGGAGACTTCCTGATGTTATCAGTCTGGAGGGTGGTGATCCCAGTGTGCAGCACCTTTGGAAAGTGCCTGCAAACCAGACCACAGGTTGACCCAAGCCTTGTGAGTGAAATTGGGGGTCATCGATAGTACTAGCATGAAGTCACAAGTCATCGTAACCAAAGGTTTGAGTGTGCTGGCCTTGTTCAAATTGTTGATCACACTAGATAAAGCATTCCTGAGTTGATGATCAGTTACAGTGAAATTTTTTGCATCTCTTATAATCATGGAGCAAACAGGGATTTTTGTTAATGTTCTAGTCTATACCTTTTTTTTTTATCATACATAGGCCTCCAATTTGTCGTCTTTTCAATTTCAAGATCTTTATATTTATTTATTTTGTTATATTTTTAACAAGATATATTTTTATCAGTTGGTACTGCCATATCTATAAAAAGGCAATTTTTTTTTGCTTAAATTTCACTGTCTGGTCTATTTGCTTTAATATGTCTGTTAGTATGAATGGTAAAATCCCACAGAATAGTGACCTCATGGCTTTCTATGACTGATGTTCAGGTGATTTTTCAACATGTCACACACTGGAATACTAACATATCTTCTGAATATATAGAAAATAAACCCTATTTCCAACACAATTACATACCCATGTATATACCATGTTAAAACACAACCAAACTTTATTTTCTATCTAATAACAGACAATATTTATAAACATGCCAAAAGGATTCCACAATACAACACACACCTTTTAAATCAAATTGTCTCTTGGTTAAAAATTGACATCACCATATGAAATAGTTGACCAATCAGAGAAAATTAAAACCCTATTTTTCTTGAGCCTATTTTCAGTGAAACTTTCCCATAAAAACCAACAGATTTTAACTGTCTTCAATTCCTTCAGACAAAAAAAAGATGTGGCTACATAGCTTTTTCCTTCCCTCTCAATGTGTGCTAAAAGAAACAGGTGCCAGTGACTTCAAATGAATCATCTCCAACAAAAGGAAAGTCAGTGAATCTTTTCTGACAATCAAATCTTTTCTCAACCACAGATTTTCACTGTGGATCGACTACTAAAAAATGTCTTTTCTAAACCACAAATTTTTCTGTGGACTAACTACCCAAAGACTTTAACTTGACTAAAAACGACTATTTTTGACTCTTGAACTCTTTTGAATTCATGCACATGTTTGTAAATACAAACGATATATTTAACAGCCATATCTAGGTTTTTTTTATTTTTATTTTATTATTGTTTGGATTTTTAATATAAAAAAGCCTATACAACAGAATTCCCTACAAATATACTGTTCCACCTTACTTTTTTATCATGGGGATCCGGAAAATTCGTCTAAAAAATATATTGGCCTAAGGAACACTCGTCCAAAGAATATACATCAAAGAAATATTGGTCTAAGTAAGAGAATTATTGTCTAATGTGGGTTTTTGTTACTAATTAAACCAAAAAAAGTGCATAGGACTATGTATGAGAACTTGCTATAAGTGTCTTATTATTCGATAGTGAATATCGATTAAATTGAGTTTTTTGTACATGAATAAAGTGTTAATTTATTAAGAAATATTGTTATATAGACCAATGGTCCTTAGACAGGTTTCCTTTTTTAGACCAATGTTTCACTATTCTTTAGAGATGAATGTTCCTAAGTCCTTTATCAATAATATTTGTATACCTTTGGTGTCAAGATTATGAAAAATTATCAACATGCTCAATTATGCTGTTCCCATAATAATCTTTATTTATTATTTTTATTTGAAATGAATAAAAATACAAACATAGCAAGAGAAAATGATATTTTCGAAAAAGAAAAACAAAATGAATGATTTTTTTTTCTTTTGCATTTGTTTGAGAGTTTTTTTTGGTTGTAAACTAAACATGTGTCCTTGCCTCACAGCAAGCACAATAATAACTTTGGATAAGATTGGCTTTTCTTCGTAATGCACTTAAAAAAGTAATGTTTTTGGGTGCTTGTTTGATGAGAACTGTTGATTATTTTTAAAATTAACAAAACAAAAACCTGCAAACATAAATTTGGAATTTTAAGTACTCCGTACTGTAACATCAAAAATTCTTAGACTGTCTTTTTGTTGATACTTTCAACCTATGGACAAAAGAAAGCAAATTCCTTACCTTTGTGAAATTGAGAATAGATTTTTAAATGATATTTTTGTTGTTGTTGTTTATGTTTTAATTTGATCAGAGAAAAACAAAACAAAACGCACTCCGATCTGCTGAGATTTTAATTTTGTGCGTGTGTATGTGTATAAAGAGGATGTCATAAATTTAAAAGGGTGTCAAAAATTTATTTACCGTATTAATATCGTCCAATCCGCCTAATGTGTTCAAAGCTTTGGATAAATTGTTAACAATACCCGGGTATTCGATACAGATCAACTTGCGACTAAGTCTACTTGTGCCGATTGGAACGGAATCTCTGGTGAGATCTTCAGGCTTTCGAACCCAAGAAGGGGAAGGTAGAATCATGTCCCTATTCATAGCGATCTGTTTTGGGATTTCACAAGCTAAAAAAAGGGGCAAATTTTAAGGTAAATTAAACAAAGATGATAAATTGCTTTCAATTATCTGAAATTCACCGCCATGATGAGGAATTCTATTCGCATTCGGAAACGAATTGAATCGACGGAATGAATATATTTTAATTTTATCTACTTCTTATTTACAAATGTTATACTTTTTTTTTAATTTGAATTATTAGTATCATTATCTATACTTAAAAAATAATTTATATAAATATATTTATTTATATAAATGACAATAATCTGTATTTTTTCATTTATGTGAAGCTGTTGGTGTTTATTCTGTAAAAACAAGAATAAAGGATTAGCAATTATTCCAATTCTGACGGGAAAATGCCGATGATATACAACTGCAGAGGTTAACCATATTGTTTCCGATGAAAAAAGAAAACTTTGAAATGTTTATCATTTAATGAAAATAGTAAAGATAAAAAAATGGGATTAAAATAATAATAATTTTTTTGTATTCTGTATTAATTTAAAAAAAAATTATTGTTCTTTTTCAGATGAAATATTTGTTTTATTCGTCACTGTTCCTGTGAAATATTTGTCTTTCATTATTCTACACATATTTCCACGCTGCAGTGTTGTTGAATAATGGCTGGAGATGAAACAGAAACAACTTCGGAAATTCACTCTGACGATGCCAAAAAGAAGTACAGTTCACTTTTTTCTCCCACCTAAGTTTTTATTTTACTCTTTAAATAGATTTAATCGTTGTTTAGTTCATTTTCCCTGTGTCAAAACAAAACAATAGTGATATCATCGATGAGGGAAAGTGTTCTTTAGTTTTTCTTTAAAAAAGAAAGTAGTTTTTCAAGTTAACAGATATTGTTAAGTTTCTGTTTAACGCTTCAAATTATTTCTACGCATCAAACACTGAGTTAATTCTCTTCCGATTTCTCTTAAACACAATTTTTTTTTAACTCTTCTCATATTCTGAGCCATCAGGAAGTAATTCGGTGTTTCTGTTTTGTAGAAATTGCTTGGAATATTTTTTTTAACTATGAAATAAAAATGAAAAACAACGTGAAATGAAGCTACATATCCAAATTAATATTATTATCCAAGAATTGTCCCCATCAAGGCCCAAGGAAAATGGTCGCAGAAGTTTTGTCGAAAAGAAAAGTATGCCGACTGTACAGTAATAATCAGGATCAAAGAGTAACTGGGTCTATGTGAACTCCACAATTGTTTCCTTATCTGCATAATATTGTTAGTGCTTCATTAGGGTTACAGTTTTGAATTCAGAGCTGTCCTCTTAGATTGGATGCCAACAATGCTAAAGAACCTAGTTTGTTCTACAATTTAACCCATAGCTGGGGGAAAAGAGATGAATTCATTCCTTTCTCATCAAGAGTATTTGCACGTATGTGAATGTAACGAACCTGACCGGAATTTGAACTCAGATTTCCAATTTCTCATTCTGAGTTGCTATCCATTGCACAAACCATATGTCCAAAAATTTCATCACATATAAATTGAAAATATCACATGTAAACTGAAATATATTTTTTTTTCATAGAGATTAAACTAAATTTCTCTTTTTACTGAATGAAACAAATACTTGAAATAAATTATATTGAATCTTTAGTGCGAGTTTCATTTTATTTCTCATGGCAATCAAAAGATAGGAAGTTGTGGTGAGCCATGATTGCCTACATGAAATGACGATGAAATGATGTGGGATTTTTCTGATAAAAGGATTTTTTTTTTTCGAAGAGTGAATGGGAGAAAGGAGAACATCACCTCTATTATCTCAATTACTGTATAAGGTGCATATGAACACAAACAAGACTCGAAACTTTTATATGAATTTTGAAAGAAACAAACATTTGTTACGCTGACATAAAAATAATGGAACAGAATACAAGTTTTACAACTTAAGTCACTGGAACTTAAAAAATTTGTTATTTTTTGTTTTAACATGGTTTGATTATTAATTTTTTTTTAAATTAAAGGATTCACCCCAAACAATGTAAAGTTACTTATTGCAAATATTAATTCACCCCAAGAACTTATAAATTTTAAATCAAAGTTAGTTTGTTTTTTTATTAAATTTTTGGCACTCTCTTGAGATTATAAATTTTAAATCAAAATTTGTTTAGCTTGCCTCACAATAGCTTCTACCCACAGAATGAAAATTTACCAAAAATTAGGGAGCTATTTACATTTCAGAAGTGTGGATGGTATTCGAGGTACTTACAGGAAATTTTTTACAATTTTGGGGCTTGTTGATAGGGGTGAGCACAAACGTTGACCCCACACTTAGAAATAGTGCACCCAAGTTGTCCATATATGGAGTGATCGCAAAGGTCAACCCAACCGAAGTGCAACGAAGGGGCCTCATTCTGGGAGAATTTGGGGTGAATTTTAGTAAATATAAATTCTTTTTATTTTGGGGTGAATTAACAGAAAAGATCCAAATTCACTTCTCTGCTTCTTTTTCTGTCTTCGTTTACTTCTTCGATAAGCAACAGCCTTGTTCATCCGCTGGTGACAACCAAAGTTGCTTTTCTCTTTGATATCTATGTCACATCTTTATTTTCTTCTGGATCCTTGTAAACTTCTGGTACATTCTGAAATTTCCCGCTCAACTCTACTTCTTATATAGTCTTGAAATAGACTCCAGGCGGTTCTCAAATTTAAAATTTGCACTTAACTTACTGAATGTATTTATATTATCAATAGCATCATAACTTCTGAATTGACAAAAAAAAAACAAATAATCATTTTTTATTCTGATGAATATCACAGACTGAGGAAAGTTAAAGAATGCTAATCAACAAAAATTAGTCACAAAAATTCCTTTTTCTGTATTTTATAAAAGTTGACCATTTTTCATCAGTAGCACCAAAAAACTGCATTTCTAACACATTTTCGTTTTGACTTTCAGAGCAGAACTTGAGAATCAGATACGAAAACGAGTCGCTTCTGAAGAACGAGCTTTTCGGATTGTGGAGAGTTTGGTCGATACTACTGTTAGCTTTGAACGATTGCAAGACACGGTGAGTCTTTTTTTTTAATCCTATTACAAAATCAGATTTCAAAGATGTTTGGGAAAATATTTCAAATTCTCTTTAGAAAAAATGAGACACTGCATTTCTATAAATGAGTGATGGTTAATGAGCTTTGCCTCCAGGTTATAAGTTGGGATTGTATTAGGTTAAGTTAAATTTAGCAAGTACCTATTTGGAATGTCTGGAGACAGAGTGGAGTAATGCACAGTGGCTCAGATTAAGGAATCTGAGAGCCGAGTTCAAATTCCATTTGAGTTCACTACATTCTCTCATGTGCTAATACCCTATAGGAAAGCTCATCAGAACAATTAGCATGAAAATATCTATAGAAAAGGCACAGGAAAGCTATGTTATAGCACTGGAACAGTGAAGCCGAGATTGGTATTTTGTCAAGAATCTTGAAATACATAGCAGAAGCACCATACCAATAATCAAAATTAATGCTTGTTAGGTATTAAAAAAAAAAAAAAACTTTAGTTAAATAGGACAAAGGAATTCCAGCCTAACTGTGGCTAAGAGGCCACAATGTTTTACCTGCCTAGTTGTAGCCACCATTTGCAATTTAGGCAAAGTGCATATGTGGTTCCCGTGCTTTTAAAACTATTGCTAATTTGTAGACGTGGTCAAAAATCTCACAAATGAGCAGACAGAAGGATCTACAGAACTTGACCTGTGCTAGGTGTGGCTATCAACGACAAAAACCTATCTTGAAATATGTTTTGCTTGTAGAACAATGAACACTAAAAGGATAAATGATGGACAAGAAGGTGAAAATTAAAAACCATGCTGGCTGTGTTGCCACAGCAACAACCCCAGACCAAACCTCCCCCTCCTGCAGTTGTAATAAGTGGATGTTTTTTATCACATTTTCTAATAATCGAGGCATTTGAGGTCATTTCTATACCTCAGTATTTCTCAACCTTTTTAAGCAACAGCACACTTAAGAGAAAATGAAAATATCACAGAACACTTAGCAAAATTTTTAAAGGGCATAAATTTAAATGTTATGAAATAAAACCATAAATTTAAAAAAAAAAATACTACCCACACAAATATGAACTTACTTCATTTCAATATTTCTATTCAACTATTTGTGCAGTTTATTTCGGGTGAAACCTATGCCTGGTGTATTTTCACATTTTCTTCAATGTTTTGTCAAATCTGCGATAAGCAGACCCTCATTTCTTCTTCAGTTGAGCGTAGGCTTTCTCGCTTCTTATTTTTGTTGTTATTTAGGGTTGAGAAGACTAATTCACATAAATAAGATGTAGAAAATTGCAATAAAACTGGTAAAGCCTTTTTTAGCTAATGTTGGATATTCTTTTTGTATTGAAATCCAAAATGTATCAATGGGTACCATCGAATGTTTTATTTTGAACCCGCGATCACGAGAAATGATGACCAATTCTTTTTCTTCACATAACTGAAATCCAATATTAGAATGAACATTTACAAAGACATTTCAAATCCATTTATACTTTTCTTTAAAATTAAATCTGTAAAGGAGTGTTCCTCAATCTTTTTAAGCAACCGCACACCTAAGAGCAAATGAAAATATCATGGCACGCTTTTTTCAGTTGAGTGCAGTCTTTTTCACTTCTTATTTTTGACATTATTTAGAGTTGAGAAGCCTAATTCACATAAATAAGTAGAAAATTGCAATAAAACTGATAAAGTCTTTTTAGCTAATGTGGGATAAAAAGTTTAATACTTATTCATTTATTCAAATAATAATGTAATACCATTATTATTTACACACACATATGTTGTGACACTGTTTCGTGACACACTTAAGAGAATCACTAGTGCGCCATGGCACGGTGGTTGAGAATCACTGCTATAACTGATTATCATATTTTATAGCAGGAGTCCTGAATGAAGCCAGAAGATACAAGATGACTCCCCAAAGTGACAATGCAAATATTTCCAGCCACCTTACAGAAACGAAGCCAGATACAGTGTTTTAAAACATAAAATTTATTACTTAATGTCCACTTTAAAAAGTTGGAGTACATTGTTGGATATGCTGGTAGCATAACAGTTATCAGCACAGAAATAAGAATTGGTAAGCAGACTTAAAATACCAGCCTAGCCTGCTGCATTCACTTTCACACAAATACCCTTGGGAAAGACATAAATCCATCTTTTCTCCTCCTAGCTATGGATTAAACGGCAAGGCAGAATGGTTTCTCCAGGCTCGGGTGGCAGCAAGTCTAGGAGAAAGAATATTTTGTATTCAAAAATGACAGAGAAGCTGAGAGTAAACTACTCCTCCATCTTTCCACAGGAGGTTATGGAAATTCCCAGATTTCAAAGTAAAGACAAGGAGAGCCATGACCGCCTACATTCTGAAGGGATATGTTATTAAGAATGAGAGAAATTGCAATTAGGGGTTAGATAACTGAATAGACTGGGATCTCTAGATTTAGGGAACAGCTAGTTTAGGAGGATTCTACTAAATCCTTTCATGCAAGCCTTAATCACAGAGAACATATCATCAAATATTTGTATTATATCTCTATCTATAAAGGGCAGGATGTGTGCGTGTGTGTGTGTAACGAATGCATAGCTGCAATTTTCAACAGATTTGCACCAAAATTTACATGCACATGCTCCAAGTTAGCGGGAAGGCCAAGACCGACTTTGCATTTCCCAACTCCCATCGATAGTGGAAATAATCGATTTTTTCATGCTTCTATGGCAGTTTTCATGTAGTTTGCGGCCATTTTCTACTGGCCAGAGTGAGTGCCTATAGCTGGCTGCCACGAATAAGCAGGAAGATTCTATTGGCCAGCGTGAGAGCCAACAGCTGACTGACACGAATGTTAACTAGCATGCAAAAAAAATCAATAGCTGCATTCGTCACAAGTGGAAAAAATTTAAATCTGCATGGCACTTTACTCCAATTGGTTCATTCACTTGCTTAAACTCAACGTTGATTCTGATTCTGCAGAACTGGGTTGGGTGTGAAAAAGTATTTGTTGTTAACATTCTTTTTTCATTCGGTTTTTCCAGTTACGAGTCTTTTTTTAAAGCTGATCGTTTTGTGTTCATTTTGTTTAGTTCTTTTTTCTTAACAAATTTAATGTTTAGTATAGAGCTTAGAAAAAATTTGCAGTGTGAGATAGGCAAGAAGTAAGGCATGTAGCAACATCAGCACGTCAAAGGGCACTCCTTTAAAGGCAAGGAAGGGCAAAAATATTTTAAGTCAAGTGATAGTGATTGCTGTATGAGTCGTACAATTTTTGAATCAAGCATGTGCAACGCTGGGCCATGCTTCTAGTTCATTTATAGAAATAACCCAATTGCCTGTATCGATAAGTGGACCCAATTGCCTGTATCGATGGTGCTGGTGGAATAAGGGCTATCAGCACAGAAAGTGGAAATGGTGAGATAGATTCAAATTCCAGCCTGGTGTCTTGCATTCTATTTCACACTAATGCCCTTGTGGAAGGTTTCAATCTCTCCCCAGCTATGGCTTAAATAAAGGGGCGTCTATGGTCTCTAGATTTGAGTGGCAATCAGTCTAGAATAAGGGCTATACTGAATATGAAATTGTGGCAGAGACACCTGGAAACCACTCCCCTATCTTTCCCACGAAGTCATGACAATTCATAGATAACGTGCCAGTGGAATTCAAATCTTAGCTTAACCTGTTGCATTCACCTTTGCACAAATGCCCTTGAGAAAGGCATGAGTATTTAAAACTTAGCTATAGGTTAAACAGCAGTGTAGGGATCTTTAGCTTTGGGTGGCAACCAGTCTAAAAGAAAGAAAACTCTGAATTCAAAACCATGAAGAAGGCAACAGATAACCAGTATCTTTCCAAGTGAAATCACAGCAATTCACAGAAAACAAAGAAGAAATCTTTGGAGAATCATGTTCGTTTATGTGCTGAAATGACGTGGCATTATAAAACAAAAATTACTCTATATTGTTAATATATTGTGTGACTTCTCTTTGCTTAAATAATTGTTTCAATGTGCCGAGCGGGATGGTGCATACAGACCCTTCCCAATCTTCACAGGTATTAGGTGCCATTTTCTGGCGCTGAGCCCACATAAATCTTCAAGACTTTCTGGATTCTTTGTGATAAACACTTTTATGTTAATTCTGTCCACATTTCCTTGATGATATTTAAGTTTAAGCTGGCCAATCTTTCCATACAGTGACACATCTTCATCAACCAAATTGTGTTGTATGCAATCTGTACACTGATCAGTTTTGTGAAAGCATGACTTTATTCAGCCAATATTTCACTGCCTTTGTATCAAATTAATTCCTTTCACTCTCTGTAGAAAAAAGAACTTTCTCGTCTTCCTTCTGTCTATATATTTGTCTCTTTCACATTCGCACTGAAAATCAACTTACAAGCCATATAACATTGAGACACCAGGTTCTCATACAGTCACCAAATTTAAGCAACATTGAATCTGGTCAGTAATTAGATGGGTAACCACTTAAAAATACCAGGTGCTTTAAGCTTGGATGTGCAGGTAGTGAAATAGCTAGCAGCTCGGAATTGGAAATCAAATCCATCTTCCTATTCCGATCAGGTTAAGCTCCACAGTTTTGAATGCAGAGTTGTCCTTTTTCTCATTACCTCATATATATATATATATATATATATATGGTAATAGAATTACAACATATCACACATATAGTTAATAAAACTACTCAATTTACTATTTTTATGGTTCAATATTGAAAACATGTAACATTAAGTAACAACACATCAGCGTCTTGATAACCAGATATGTTTTGATTCAAGCTGTAAAACAATCATTTGAATTCTGCACCCAAAGATTGCATAATGTATGAAACTCAGGGTTGTGTTAGAGCTGTGAGATAGTAAGTGTGTGTGTATATATATATATATATATATATATATATATATAAAATTAGCATGCAATTAATTTATTTGCTAAGTAATTGAGCCTTGCTTTGCTGTAATGGCTTCTCATAGCTTAAAGGTAAAGCATGCTTAGTTTTAAAACTTTCCAGATTAAAAAGAAAATACAGTTTTGACTCCTGTTGGGGGTGGGGAGGTACATTTTGTTAAAATTTTCCATCTCTAGGCCACTGACATTAATTTCAGTGTTTAAACAGCATATAATAATAATAATAATAATAATAATAATAATAATAATAAAATATACATATATATATACAAAAGCAAACAAGAAAATTTTTATTACTAATCCTAATAAATCTACAATCCTCATTGGGGATCTTCCTGCATAAATTTTGGTTATTAAAAAGAAGACCTATACAGGTTTGCTCTTACCTTTTCTGTTTTGGTACATATGTTAAAATTAAATCACGATACTGGAATTAAAGAAGTTTTGCTGTTCATGCCTTTCGCAAGGATTTTGATTTGAAATCATCGACTGTCAATATTCAGACTTTTTTTTATTTCAATTCCAAATTCAAATATACTACTAGTTGTTTTCACACTTAGAATATTTGGCTGTGCTCATATCCTATAAATGGTTTCCTTTGGATGTTTTTCAGGCTCATTTTCTCCTTCCAGCTCATTACAAGGACATCACAGAAGAAAGAGCCATTACTAAACTCTGTGGCTTTCCTGTTTGCAAAAATCCACTTGGAAATGTAAGAAAAATGTTTCATTTTTTTTATTTTTCTATGAGTGAGAATCATAATATTGGAATGCTTTTTTGGTGATAAAATGTCAATAGTTTTTTTTTCTCAAATTATGCATATATAAATTCCATGGTGACTTTTTGCATTTGAGAAACAGAAAACAAATTAATTCATCTACTTTTTAAATTTTAAATTTAGATTTTTTTAAAAATTTCAGCATCTCTTCTCATTCATGTGCATGAACATAAATATCGCTTTAGTCCCATGAAGTCTTAAAGGACATAACGTGATTCACAACAAAAAAAAATTTTTTCCACTTTGTTATAGATTTTCCTAAAATTGTTCTTGATATATAAAAATTTATATATCATTTTTCCCACACACACCTGATAAACTGCATTAGTTTTAATTCAATTTGCTTAAAATACCACCAAAAGAAACTTAAAAGAATTTTTTTCAAAATCAGTCAGTTATGTGCCATGTGTGATACACACTTAGGCGATCATGTATCTTTCAATACATGACTGATGAGGCAGATTTTTCCCCACAGTAGGTTGCCATTTATTTCTGTGGTTGAACAATTGCCATCCAAGGCTATAGAACCCGGTCTGTCTTGCTATTTACCTATAGCTGTGGATATAAGAATAGGATTCATACCTTTCCCAAGGCTATTAGCACAAGTGAATGTAATGGATTCAACTGGAATTCGAACTCGGCTCACCGATTCCTCAATCCAAGCCCCTATCCATTACGAAAATCTCTTTGTGGATATTAGTTACTTTTTTCTTTCCTTTTTTTTTTTTTTTTTGACTAAGTTTGTCATTTTGTCTTCCATGTTGACAATGTGTAAAAGTTTTTAGAATATATCTGTAGAAAAGACAAATTGAATAAAATAGACAATAGAAAATGAGTACTAAAATCCCAAAAAAGAGATTTTCACAGGAGCATCTTTAAAAATTTTTGAATTTCGAGTAACTATACAACATTTCATTTTTGTTTATCACCACTTGC